AGCGTAAGTGTCCAACCAACAGCACCACCTCTACAGGAGACTGCTACTAACAGCATTCTATCACCAGAGGGCATAAGTGTCCAATCAACAGCACCACCTCCATATGCTAGGAGGCTCCCAACCCCCGCAGTTGATAGCTGGGATCCTGAGACAGGATCTAAAGTATGCCCTGTATTTGAGGTAGGAGGGCAGCGAATTTACCAGGGTTTAAATTTCAAAACAGTAAAGGAGCTAAAAGAGGCTGTAACAACCTATGGTCCGCAAGCACCTTTATTTCCTGGCCTGTGGATTAAATATCCCAGTGAAAGAAACCTGTGGAGATGAGGGTCACAGTGTTGACCAACCCCGGCACCTTGTCCTCTCTGCAAACACATGCTCTCGGCACCGCCCTGCCTGGCCCCGCAGGGACTCTGCAGGTGAGGCTCCCGTCCCTCCAGGTGTGCATCTCTGCTATTCTCTGTGGTGCATGACATGGGCTTGTGTTCCCAACCCTATGCACCTGGGGACTTCAGAGGCAGGACACAACTCAGAAGCATCTGCCCCCAGGCTGGCTCTTTCCCTCCCCTGCTCCTGACTTGGGAGACCCCAACTGACCACACGATTGATCCAGATTCCAGATGGGCCTCCCAGGCCTCTTTCCCACCCCCCCCCCCCCCCCCCCATGGAGTCGGAGCAGGACAGGAGCAGAGCTGCTAGTCCCCCATCTGAGGGGGCTTTGCTCCTGTCATTTGGGGAAAAAGAGGATGAACATATTACAAAGCCATGCAGGTTCCCTGATGCTCATGGAGGAGGTAACAGAAAGGAGAGAGGTAACAGAAAGGGACAAGTTAGTGAAAGAAAGAAGGGACTTGACTTCAAGGACCCTCCCTTTCTCTCAGAAGCTCCTTTCACTACCTAAGACTTTCTGGGTCTGGGAGAAGCCCCTCCCCACATTCCACATGGACCCTAGATTGGTTATGAGAAGTCAAAAGCAAGAGGAGAGTCTCTGGGATGGAGCAGGAGGCACAGGCAAGGACAGGATTTGCTTGTGCCCAGCTAGGAAGGAACTTCTTCCACGTTGGTTCCAGAAAATCAAGACTCCACCCAGCACTTGATACTGTGCTCCAGGGTCCACTAACTTATTCTTGGTTGTGGTCCTATTGAGGTTAGTGACAGAGTTATGGGGGACACACACATAGGATCCGCTATTATTTGTAGAGAGGTTGGGGACTGAGAGCTCTTGGGTGGATTCCAGGGGCCTCCCATTGAAAGACCAAGAGAACTGAGCAGGCGGGTTAGAGTCTGCATGGCAGGAGAGGTTGAGATTTGTCCCAGGACAGAAATGTGTGTCTGGGGGGTTTATGATGGGGTCATCCGGACCATCTGGACAAACAGAATAAAGCCACATGTAATGTCATCAGAGGGAAGGGGAAGTTCCTAGACTGTAGAAGGCCACAATAGAACTACTGATCCATGTCACAACCTTGTTTTTTTGAAAAGTCGCAACTAGGCTGGGGAGTACAGTGGTACAGCACCTGCCCAGCATGCATGAGGCCCTGGGTTCAAATCACAGCACCATACACACTCACAGAAAGTCTCAACCAAACCCCTTTGTTCACTGAAATTAGTCTGTGACATTCCCCTGCTTCTCTGTCCCAGGTGGCTGACCCCAGGCCTCTCCAGGAACCACAAGCCCTCCCCTCCTATTCATGGCCCAAGGCTGGACCTGCCTGGATGTGCCTGGGGCTATTGTCACAGCCAGTCCAGGTGCCCAGGAGAGAGGGTCGGTGTACTTGGACTCGAGAGGGACTAAGTGGCCCAGCTTCTGGCCCTGTGTATTTGAGTTCACAGCCAGGGTAATGGAGGAATAGAAGAAACTCACAGGAAATATTCAGGGTGAGTGGGTCACTGCGGCTGGCACTCATGGTTTCTGGATTTCACACTCATAGGGTCCTGTGTCATCCCTTTTGACAGTGAATAAAGTGAGAGTCCTGTTGTTGTTGGACAGCTTCAGCCTGTCACCATCTGGGATCATCTGATTGTTTAGCCTCCACAGGTAGGTCGCATAATTAACCTCAGGTTCACACTTTAATGCTAGAGAGTCCTCACCCTCCATGGGTTGGGAGTTGTTGATTGTGATGTTGGGTTTGGGTAATTTCTCTGTGCAGACAACAAAGWGAGGATTGCCCTGTGGTACCTCTGATCCCCACAAAAGCGTCTTTCCACCTGAGCTAGCCTCTCCCCTCCCACCAACCTGAGT